TTCTTTTAATCTCCTTTTTATATTGTATAGTTATATACTCTTTTCAACCTTTGGGGGCGGGGAGATATTTTCTCCCTGTAGCCCCAGCTGGCCTTGAACTCACAGAGATCCGCCTGCCTCTGCCTCCCAAGTTTTAAGGGGAATTTTGAGTAAAAATGGAGGTATTTTACCATTTCTATCTATTTATAATCCTTTCAGAAGCAATGCAGGATTTGGGACGTCTGGATAAACTATACCACTTTGAAATAAGCCAAAGATGAAAAGGATAATCTAAGATAATTGCTTGAAATAACAACTTGCCTTAATGGCCTCAGTTAGGATTGCATCCATCTTGGGCCGGGGAGAGGAAGCCATCGGTGTTTGTTTCTGGGCCCTAGCTAGCTGGCTGGCAGAAAGAGTAGCCCAGGAAGGTATGGTCTTTTTCACTTTCTTCTCCTTTTCTTTAGACTGATCTTTCTCACTTAAAAACAAAGAAATTTCATTATACAAAACAAACTTTTCAGAAACAGGCACAGTCAACATTCTGTACCCACAGACCTTACATTTGCACATTCTGCACAGGATTACATATATTTGGGGGAAAGGTGCAGTTATACTGCACAGGTACAGCTTTCTTTTCCCCTATCATTAGTCCCTAAATAGTACAATACAGCAACTGTATATAAAACACATTGTATTAGGTATTATAATTTAGGTGATTTCAAGTATATAGGATATACATAGGTTATATGTAAATACTAAACCATTTACAGACTTGAGTATCTACAGAGCCTTGCATCCATTGGGGTTCTAGAACCAATCTCCCTTTGATATCAGAGCACAAATAAAGCAAAAGACTCTGGAGGGAGGGAGAGGTGCAGTGGCACATGCCTATAATTCTATAACTGGGGAAGTAGAGAGATTCTAAATTCAAGGCAAGCTTGGGCTAGATATGAGTTGCCAGACAGCCTCAGTGACAAAAAAGCCAGGAACTGTTTTTTAATTTTTTTTAAAGTCTTATTTTTTTATTCAGTAAGGCGATAAACACAGTAACAAAAATTTACAAAATAAAACTTTTAAATCCTGGGTACTAGGAACTAGAGAGATGGCTCAGTGGTTAAGAACACGGGCTGCTCTTGCAGAGGACCTTGGTTCAATTCCCAGCACCCACCTGGCAGCTAACCACTGTCCATAAACACAGTTCAAGGGGATCCAACACTCTCTTCTGACATCCATGGGCACTGCACATGCACTTACATGCATACACATAAAATAAAAATAATAAAGTATTTTAAAAAATTCTGGGTACTATTAATGAACTAAAAAGATTTTTCTTTTAGGTATGAACTAGAAATTTGTTTCTCTTAGGCTCGGAAAATAGACATCATATCAATTGTCACTATTACAAAGGTCTAGTAGATAAAAGATATGAGAATTTAAAATGCATACTAGTTAGTAACCATTACAACAACCGTCTCAAAACATGCCTCCCTTCCCTACCCCTTAGAAATGAAACAAAACAACTTAAAAAAAATTGCCACTATCTTATACAGACATTTTATAAATCATCAACAGCAAATTTTACTTTCAGAGGCTTAGTCACCTCCAACTGAAAACTTCACATACAGAGCTTGGGTCACTCTAGAATAACATTGGCTGATGCTTTCTACCCTAAGCACATAAAAACAACTCACTCCTGGCACAGGGGTAGAAACAAATGGTGAAGCATCTTTCAAGTTAGGCTTTTGTAGTTATGCTTTACTTCTTACTGAGATTTTATCAAAGCTTAAAGTATCAGATACTTCCATAACGAAGTCTAAACATAAAACCTAATCCAAAACAAATAGGAAAGGATTATTTAAACCACAGTTCTACAACCACTATAAATTCTCAACAGCACAGACGTGCATAACAAAACTTTATCAACCAAAAAATACTAAATAAAAAAAAAAGGCCAGGCGTGGTGGCGCACGCCTTTAATTCCGGCATTTAATTCCGGCAGATCTCTGTGAGTTCAAGGCCAGCCTGGTCTCCATAGTGAATCCAGGATAGCTGGGGCTACAGGGAGACCCTGTCTCAAAAAAGACCAAAATAACCCCCCCGAAACTTTATCAAAGGGTAATATTTAAGAAAGCAAATGCAAATAGCTAACAGCTAGCAAAGATGGTATGTTCTGATGCTTTCACATAACCTGACCTACAGTCCTTTTGTACAGTTTTCAACTTATAAATAGCAAGAAAGCAGAACTCTTACTCCTTTTTGGTTTCCTCAGAAGACTTGTTTTCTTCCTTCTCTTCATGCTCAGGCTCCCCCTTGGGCTGTTCTGTCTCACTGGATGTAGCAGGTGGAGTTTCATTCTCTTGTTCTTCTACGGTGGAGATAGATTCCTCTGAACTTACATCTGGCTCTAAAACATCAGGTAAGTATCAAGCAGATTATCAGAACCCACACCCCTAGTCAATAAAGTGAACATATGATTAAACAGACCAGCCAATTGAATTAAAATGAACCAAATGACTTTGGAGTCAGTCCCACCTGTGGGGTCATTAGTCTGTCCGTGCCCCCGTCCCCCCAGCTGGGAATGGAATCCAAGGCCTCATCTACAAGTTCTATCACTGTGCCAGTAGCCTCTTTCATGTTTTTTATGACATTCAGCCTGTCTATTCAAGTGTTTATTCGGAACATTATGTGAGATACAACCACATAAAGAGCCAGGAAATCTCATCTTTTGATTATTGTCATTTGTAATATTAATGATACTCGTAACGAAGAAACTTTTTAACTTATACAGGCAAATCTTAGAATAAAAAGCTAGCACAATCTTCTAGGCTGAAGGTTTGGGGAAAAAAGAAGGGAAACACTCAAGTCTGCAGCTGTTTGTGCCTTTTCTTGATAGCATGTTGCTTTGAGCAACTACTATAAAACATACAACTGTAGGTATTACCTATAAAAGACTTTAAACAGCAGCAAACATTAGGAAAAAAAGAAGTGGGACTAAAGATACAGCTCAGCTGGGAGGATACTTGCCTTCCATGTACTAAGCTCCAGATTGAGTCCCAGCCCAGCACTACATAAACTGGACATGATGGCATGGGGCCTCAGAGGCAGAAGCAAAAGGATCAGAAGTTCAAGGTTATCCTCAGCTATAAAGTACAAAGGCACAGGAGATCCTGTCTCTAAAAACAAAAGTGTAAGTTTGAAGGTCAGAGGAGGGTCAGGGGAGGTTGTCAATTCCTGTTATCTGAGCAATCCTAGCATTCAGGAGGCTGAGAAAGGAAGACTGTTTGAGTTTCAGTGTGTGCTACATAGTAAGGCCTTGTTTCAAAGAAAAAAAACCACAAAGTAAGTATATACTTGAGCACTTGTACACTTAAAGAGACTAAAAGAATACCATTTCCAGCCAGATATGGTGGCACATGCCTTTAATCCCAGCACTCGGGAGGCAGAGGCAGGCAGATCTCTGTGAGATCAAGGCCAGTCTGGTGTATATAGCAAGTTCCAGGCCAGCTGGGGCTACAGGGAGACCCTGTCTCAAAAACAATTTCTTATAAATATAATCCTAAAACTTCTAAATTTCGAAACAGTCAACCACTAGCTGCAAATCCTGTCCTGGATTACAGCTTCAACCAGACACACAGAGACTAATCTGGAAGTTCAGTTTCCATCACCTATGTGGCTGGCGGCTCCTAGCCAGTTCTAGCTCCAGTCCACCATGGGCATTGCACACATATGGCACGCTTATACAGATGCAGGCTTTAAACACTCATACACATAAAACAAAAATAATTTTTTTTGAGACAAAGTCTCACTTTGCAGCCCTGGCTAGCCTCGAACTGAAGAGTTCCACCTGTGTCTGCCTCCTAAGTGCTGGGATTAGTGCCACCAAGCCCAGCATAAGTAAATCTGGAAAAAAATAGTAGAGCCTAAAAGATGTGATTTAAATTCTGAAATCTTGGGATTAAAATCTGGATGAGTGAGCAAAGAAAGTGACTGTTGTTTCTAATTTTTTGAGTCAGTGTCTTGCTATGTAGCCCAGACTGGCCTCGTAACTTGCAGCAATCCTGCTGCATCAGCTGTGCAGAGTGCTGGGATCAGACATGAAATCCTCCAATAGGAAATGGTTTCTTAAGATGTTATAACTCCTGCTGAAGAAGCTATGAACATTTCTGAAATGACACAGGATTTAGAGTATAGAAATACAGCCAGTGCCAGGGTTTGAGAGGGACCAACAATTTTGAAAGCTGTTCTATTGTGGGTAAAATGCTCACATACACATGACAAAGATTTTTTTGTTTTGTTTTTAAATAAATGAAGAGTCAGTTGATGTAGCAAACTTCATTGTCGACCTTCTAAGAAGTTACCAGTGTGATTAGTCAGCAGCCACCCACACTAACGGTAGGCAAGACCCTCTACCAGCAAAAAGATTATGACTCATGGAAAGGTCACTTTTTTTTTTTTTTTTT